ACCAAAAGTTGGTGTATGAATATTTGGGCCGAAGTTCATCGGCCACAACGGAATAACCGCGCAATATTCATTAACTGTCGACAGGTAGCTAGTAGTACATTTTGGAGTTAGAGGATACCATAATAGTAGCACAGGTACTAGATAAAACCTCAGACACGCGTGTCTGGAAATGACCAAAGCATTTGGGTCACCAAAAAGAATGGACAGATAGGCACAATCGTGTTATCATTTACTTAAAAGTTGCTCTGAAGGCGCAACGCAAGGGGCTGGGGAGCGTTGCAGTCCAAGGAAGTGTCACAACAGTCAGCCACAAAGATCTCCTCAGACCCCAGGAGATAAAAGAATGGACAGATGCAAAAAGGCATACCTCCACAATAGATTGAGTCCTCCTTGATTATTTCTATCCCGCCATTTTGCTGAACGTGGCATTCAGTGAGGTCGATTATCATGCAGTTACCCTTTCCAAGGCCTGCCACATTCCGGTTCTTGGCTTTCTGTTCATGTCATCATGCAAACTCAAGAAAACCTACAAGGCGAATAAGTCGGAGTGACTGGCCCAAACGAGAGGAGAGAAAACACACCTCAATTGGAAGACCCAGTTTTGCGACGACATTCTGTACTTTGACTTGAAACTCTGGAAGTTTACTCCTATCCTTCTTGAAGCCACTCTACATGGGGAATGGAATAGAAGAAGATAGTCTACAGGTCAACCGTACCTGGTTAGAAAGTAAAACTACTTTGAATCCCTCACTGTCATAGCGTTTTAAGACTTCTGGGATGTTGGGCAACATGATTTTCCAGTCGTTCGCGTCCTTGGGAAAAACCCGACCCGAGGAAGGAACAATAACGGTACCATCCATATCCAACGCTAACACCTAAGTGGAAGGTGTTGGGTGCAATAGAAGCGGCGCTTAAAGAAACAGTTAAAAATGGTCAACAGGAAATTACGAGTTAGTGGTAAATGTGAATTCCGTAACTCGAGAATTTAAGACCCCTAGTGTCCAGTATGACCACTCTAGAGTGGGTGCATGAAACTAGAGAATGGGGGGAATGGTATTAGACGTGCAAAATAATAACGGAAATATAGCGGTTGTCAGAATGCTATGAAATTGGCGTGAGACAGTGGGGTAGTTGTTCTTCCTAAATGCCTCCAGGTTCATGGAGACAGAAAAGGTCAATGAGAGCATTCTGGCATTAGTAAAAACGAGTGATAGCACAAATTTGTGTACCTTAGCGGAGTGTTTGGCGTCCGGAGGAGTGAAGATCGCCAGGGAGTCTGTAACGCTCCACAAGGCGGAGTCCAAACCCTTTTTTTCCCCACCAAGCACAGTTTGACGTCTGTCGAAAATGCGGATGATGAAGGAACGTACAGTTTTTTGGTTTTAGAGGGGTCTCCGGAAGCCTCGGAATCAGTGGATCGTTTACAACGGGTCGGCATACCTACACAACCAAGCAATAAATCGGTATCACGGGGCATCTGTATCAAAGCTGGTGCACTAATGCGTGTATCAACAAAAGTCAGTATTTCAAACTGTTATTGTTGCAGAGTGGCTGAAAACTAGAAAGGACTATTTTAGGATGGGTGCACGGATAATTTATCCAAAAATATAATCACAACAGCACACACGACAAAGTCTTCTCATGCAACACGCCTGATAGCATTCTGGTTGTCCATGGCTATCCCGGTCGCTCGGTCACAGACTAGTGCTGCGATTGACTGAAATTTTCTAGCAATATTGGCAGACACTGTCTACACGCATGCAGTAGGTTGACGCGTCTTTATCGGGCGAGTTGGGGGCGTTGTTGCCCAAGGCGACTTAATTCGCCAGACAGGCGTCTAAGGTTACAGATAAAGTGCGTGCGTGCACTCCTGCATGCATACCTACGCGCAAAGGGAGCCCGCAAGCGTGACGTCCTCAGGTGAGCATCGAGGAAGAGATGTTACCGAAAGGCTCATTTCCTCGCACAGACTGAGTACTGTCAGCCAATTAAATTACTAGCCCGCAAATCAAACGGTCTAGCAAACGTCTAACCCTGGGCGCCTAAATCATTTAGTATACGCTGTGAGGGAAAAGACACAGGAACAGTTCCCAAATTAGTTCGGGTAGCCCTGGCATAATACAATCCTAGTCATGACTGTACGGAAACCAAGAGTCTGAATGAAAATCGGGATAGAGGGAGAGGGGATTCCCCTCTATACATATACGGGTATTGCTGATTCCGGCCCATGTCAAGGTTTGCCCGAGTCAAAGCATTAATTAGGTGATCAAACAAGCGATAATTTTAAAATCAGAAGAGTGAGCGAGAAACGCTGGGTGTTACAAAACAGCGCACAAATTGCACGTACTTCTTAGGAATAAAACAGGTGTGAGGTCGACTTTTGATAGAAAAGACAGTACGCGGTAAATTATCGGGTCAGTAAAAGCCTGACGATATCTTAAACAGCATCGATCGACTTCTGGTCGTTTTTATATATTGGAAGAAAGCCTTTAGAGATAAGATAATTACAAGCCCATAAACATTTCGTCCACGGACATTATCTGGGGACCCCCCGCGTACTAAGCAATTATAATGGTCGGAACTGGTACCCGCTTTTTTTTCTTCGGCCTAAATGGAAATACACTTCTCAACATTATACTTGATAATCGATTTATAACACCATTAATCGTGATGACTCAGGCTTGTTCGGAGTTCATTTGCCATAAATGTGGTCAACTCATTTCAGTATTTTATGTCATCGACAATCTTGACTTTCTCGCAGTCCAATTCTGTCATACAACCATTAGCACGGAAAGAGAATGTACGGTTGTCCAGCTGTGGGTCCATGTGACGGTCATAGTAGGTCGCTCACTTGCTTGCAGGTGTTGACTACGCCTAGTGTTCATTAATCGGTACCCAACTCTCACATGTGGTTCCCAGAAGCTGGGCTCTGTCTGGCGGTCACACCCCAGTAAACGCCTCGATCGGCAGGCTTAACCAGGTAAGGGTATCTGTGTATGCATCTCCGCACACGGTAACTCGGCTTCGCTAAATGGATGGACCAGCGCCTCGGTACCTCTGCGACGAGACTCCGTCTGTACCACCGCAGGAGGCCGAAAGGTAATTGAGCCCTATTTGTCAGCTAGTTTGCGCATGTCCTTGTCGAAAACTAACTGCTGTTTTGTTGAGTTTCCTCTGTTGTCTTTGCTTTTTGCCGTTGTTGCCTGCTTGCTTTATGTCTGCTTGTTCGATCTATGCTTCCTGTCCCTCTCATTTCTCTCCCCCCCCACCCCCACTCAAAAATCGTACGGGGAGAGCGACGACGATTACGTATGCGCCCAAGGTTATCGCGGGTCGTTCCTCCTCCAAACTCAAAAGTCGCGACCCATAATGGAGTTCGTCAGCTGTCTGAGACAACTGAGCGGTCCTATTTATCTAGAGCACTGCTCACCCCCGTGGGGGAAGGGACTGAAAAAGGTGCCCCAAAAATGCCGGGGCATCTACGCCGTCTGCAAGCTGACCGTGGACTCAGACGCAATACTCACGGTCGAAACAACCAAATCAGAAACAACACTCTTTATCTTCCCTCTTCCCCTTCTCTCCGCCCCACCCCACAGTCTAGTAGGTTGACCTTGTTTACTCTGGCAGACTAGAATGTTCGTGTCCTTTTAGACAATCCGAGAAGCAACCGACCGGAACGGAGGACGACGCTAGTGGCTCGTGAACTGGCGCGCTACAAGCTGGACATACCTGGCCTCAGTGAGACTCGGTTCTAAGAACAAGTCAAACTGGATAAGGTTGGTGCCAACTACATCTTCCTCTGGTGCGGCCTCCACAAGGCAGAGCGACGTAACGAAGGTGTCGCCTTTGCCATCCGGAAGGGCATCGCGGGACGAATACCTTGTCTGCCGCAGGACGTCAATGATCGTCTGGTGAGCCTTTGCCTGCATCTTAGGGGAGGCAAATTCGCCACCATCATCAAAATCTACGCTTCCCCGATGACCAGACCTGGCGCTGCAACGATCAAATTCTATGAGGATCTGTACGTCCTCCTAGCGAATGTGTCGAAGACGGATAAGTTGATTGGCCTTGGTGAATTCAACGTCCGCTTCGGCACAATGCATGCTGTCTGGAGAGTAGTGTTGTGTCCCATTGTCTCGACAACTCTTACGACAATGGCGTACTCCTACGAACTCGCGCAGGATACCAGCTCATCCTGACCAACACCTATTTCCGCCTCCTGATGCGAGAGAAGGCCACCTGGATGCACCCTCGGTCGTGACACTGGCACCTGCTGCTCAATGTTTTCGTCCGGAGGTGATACCAGCGGGACGTGCTGGTGACAAAGGTCATCCCGGGTGTTGACGGATGCACTGACCATCGTCCCGTCATCTCCAAAATGCAGATTTGCCTGCAGCCTCGTAGGAGACCTCAAGGTAAGCGATCTCCAGGTGAGCTGAATATTGCTGAGTACGCTGAATATTGTCTTTGCCGATACAAGCGAAGATGCGAGTTGCAGGAACTAGTTGATCAGAAGAAGAAGCGATCGCTGGAACAAAGGCTTTATTCGCCTGACGTTTCGGACTCTCACTTGAATCCATCATCAGAGACAGTGGCAGAAAAGGGTGACTTGTGCACAGGAAATTGCAATATTTATAGGATGCAGTCGCTATGCTACCGCATACCTATAGCAATTAACCGCGCTCCCCTTCGTCAAGGCTGGGTGCCCGCTGGTGCGATAATTGCTTGATGGCCGACATGATTGTTAATCGCTGAATGTCATCACCCGTGTTAGATGCTGGCGTGATGATTGCTCAGTCATCTGGCTCACCGGCTTGCGCGCTTCCAGAGTGATCAATTACCTTGGGCAGCCCATGACTCAGCACGGAATATGGAGTGGGAATGTTGTTGCACTTGTTGATAGACTGAAGTCCCGTGAACCATTAATCAAGCAACTCGCGGCTCACGCGATTACCTCCCGCTGCCGCCAACGCTGACTTGACCATTTTCGTGGATAACCGATGATGTCAACTCAGGGCACTGTCCAGTCGACGGCGCTGGCCGTCCAAGGGCGCGTACGTCGCCAACACCAGGACGGGCTCCAGAACAACGACGCCACCACCTGCAAACTGCTCGCCCAGAAGAACCGACTGCACAAAGCCTACGTCACTCGTCCCATCGACGACAACAAAGCTGCTTTCTATCGTGGTTGCCGCCTTGTGCGACAGCGTCTGCGGGAAATGCAGGACGCCTGGACGGCTTGCAAGGCCGATGAGATCCAAGGGTAAGCGGACCGCGACGGATAGAATAACATTTTCGCCGCAATTAAAGCTGTCTACGGTTAGCCTATCAAAGAAACGGCTCCTCTTCTCAGCGCAGACGGCACTACCCTACCCACAGAGAAGGCACAAGTCCTACAACGACGGGTCGATCATTTCAGAAGCGTACTCAAATGTCCCTCCGCCGCCATCAGTTGTCTACATCAAATGGAGAACAATGCCCATTTCGACCTCCCGCACTCAGTTCAGTTCAGTTCAGTTTATTGAGGGAAATAGGCGTTAGCCTTTGAGTACCCTATTTGCAACGTAATAAATGTGTGGTATGCAAAAAATGTTCTAGGCTGAAATAGTTCACACACGCTCATAATGGTAGTACAAAAAGAGAACGNCGTTCTCTTTTTGTACTACCATTATGAGCGTGTGTGAACTATTTCAGCCTAGAACATTTTTTGCATACCACACATTTATTACGTTGCAAATAGGGTACTCAAAGGCTAACGCCTATTTCCCTCAATAAACTGAACTGAACTGTCCGCGTGCCTCTCGTCGAGAGCTCCGGTCCAGCTCTGGAGATTTTGCAGCAACGTTTTCGCGCAGGATCTTCCTTTCCTGAACCGATGTTGGTATTCCGATATCAGGCCATGAACTTCCAGGAATTTGCTCAGTTCTCTGTTTATGATCCTTTCCATAACTTAGCAGAGCATGAATGTCAAGCTTATGAGCCTTTAATTTGTCGTCACTGCCCTGCTACCTCCTTTGTGTAGCGGAGTAATATGCGCCAGCTTCCAATCGATAGGAAGTGTTCCAGTGTAAATGACGTTTGAAAGAGCGTCGACAGAGTCACAGACAGCTCACTGGCAAGTTCCTTGAGAAGCTTGGGTGGAATCTCGTCTGGTCCTGGCGACTTCGATTCGTTCAATGCCTCTAATTGTCTTCGGACAATGCCTTCTGAGAAGAGTATATCGCTGACGCTTGGAGTCGGCAGTTCATCTGTGGAGGGAGGAAGGAACCTTGTCTCTTTTTGTAGACTGATTGGAAGATCTGTTAAAAATACGCAGCTTCATCCCTACTATCAGCAATCTCAACGCCATCAGTAGTCCTTATTAATGGGATTTGATGCCTGTTTCTTGTACTTTGTCGGAGGTAACTGTACAGTAATTTTGGGTTCTGCGTTGCCTTTTGTAGCTAGTTCTTCTCGAATTCCCGTCGATTCCTCAGGATCAGGTTCCTCATTTTGTTTGTCTGTGTCTTGTAGGTGTTAAAATATTCAACTTGCCCAGTGACACAGTGTTTTCTCCACAATTTCTGCTTCCTGTTGATTTTGTCCTTGAGGTTACTATTTAGCCACCCAGGGCGTTTATTCCGTATTACACTATTCAGTGGGCAGTGGTTGTTGATAAGCAGCAGAAGGACATTCTTGAACAGCTCCCAGTCATCGTTGACATTTCCCGTGAACAATGAGCTCCAGTCGAAACCGGATAAGTCTACCCTCATCTGATTGAAGTCGCGTCGCCAAACATTCCGTCTTTTTTGGTCTGGAGAATGCGAAATGGAGAATAACGAATAATCCCACATAAGCACTACGTGATCACTTCGGCCAAGAGGCGGCATGGAGGTGATCTCGTCTATGCTGTCTGGTGTTTTCGAAAAAACCAGATAAAGGCAGTTTGCCCTTTGTCCTTTACGTGTTCTCGATGGGGACATTACATGTTGTGTGAGGGACGCCTTTAATGTCTTGTTCAGCAGACGGTAATCGAGTGACGATTTTGGACCTGACACTTGGAGGGTATTCCAGTTTGTTCCTGGAGCGTTGAAGTCAGCAATGATCAGGATGTTAGGTAGACTGGAAAATTTCTCCAACTGCTCCAATAGTTGAGTGTCCGCGATTTAATCTGTCCTAGGTGGTCGGTAGACAGTGAGGACATCGAGACACGGGGAACCGGTAGCCTTGATGGTCAAACAAATAGCTTCCATGTCGCACGCAAACTTGGTGGTGTTTTCCGACACTGTCAGGCCTTCATTTCCATACACAACTATACCACTGTCCTGACGATGTTCCCTGTCCCTCCGATAAAATTGGTATCCAGGCAAGGCTACTTCACTATCGCTAATATTTCCGGACAGCCAGGTCCCAGTTTCTGCTAAAACGTCTGGAGACAGCTCGGCAAGGCAAAGTTTTAGCTCGTCTAGTTTCGATATGAGGCTTTGGACATTCGTGTACAAGCACCTCAGTTTTGCACCAGCCGAATTTCTCGTTACATCTGTTACTGTTTCGAGCATTACTCCGTTATCTCGAACGCCATGTTCTTTGGGCTGATGGGTTCCATTTATATGCGTTGCTTCAGTCAGATCACTGGACGTTATTCGCTTATTTGTGTTGCCGCCTTGAGCAGGTGGTTCAACTAAGGTATATGTGCTAGCTGAGTTGCTGCCGTCGTTCTTAGTATTACAGGCTGGTTCCACTTAAACGGCATATATTTCCGAACTACCTTCCCCTTGAAGATAGCCAGATTGTGTTCGCCACCCTTCAGTCTTGATTTTAATTTCAAAACCAGTTCCCGGCGTTTCAGCCGTTCCGCTGGTGAATGGTCCGGTTGAAAAAAACCTGTTTGTGTGTGTTTTTGAGGTCGGTTTTTTTAGAGAGCATCAATTTGATATGCTCTTTGTTCTCTAGCATAATTTTGAGCGGGCGCGGTGGTTGTGCTTCTGTCCTGTCTTCACTCCTTTTTCCTATCCGGAATGCTTTCAGAACTTTTATTTCCATGTCTGCCTGGAGTACCTGATTTAGTAGACCATGAAAAGAAGCAAGGTCCTCTGAGACACGGTCTTGAGGTCTGACTGCATTCGATTCCGACAAACCCTGAATAACCAGACACTGCTGGCGAGCATGGTCCTCCTTACTTTGTCTTTCCGGTGAATTCGCTGCATGTGGGCGAGGACGATTTACGGAGTCGTCGCTTGGACGCACACTTTTGCTGTCTACCGACTGTCCGGAGCAGCCCATAAAGTCTGGCTGTAACTTCAGACTCCTGTCATGGCGTTTCCCTCTCCCCTCTACCCACGGGTTCATGTCTTCGCATTCAGATACGTGCTCTGTAGTGCGCTCGGGGTGGTTGTCAGAACAAGAGGGCAACAATAGACTGGATGACCCAGGTATATCGTCTCCAGGCAGAAGAGAATTCCCGTCACTTACAGCAAGAGGCTTAGACGAGATAGCTTCTGCAACAGGTAATTTTTGTGTGACATCGCTTAAGACATCATGCGTGGGAATCGAGTCTGACCTTATCGGCGGCTTTGTTCTCGTTGTCCTGCTGTTCCTGGCGTCCGCGGTTTTGGCTACTGAGTTGCTACTCATGATTGAAGATGTCCCCGAGGAGATATTTTTTGGCGTTTTTTTGCGTTTTACTATTCGTTTTCGGGACTCTAACACTTCACACGTTCTGGTCGTCTAGGATCTGTTTCACGAGCGTCCTTAAATCAGCAAGCTCCTTTTCGAGTTGGTATACTTTGATTTGGATACCTGCGAAACCATCAGGACCGTGTAGCAGCTCTTCAGCTGGAAATCTCCCGCATCAGACGCGATCCATGCTGAGATCTAAAAGCACGGTGGCCCCCAAATCAAGGATCACCTGATACGGTCCTCCAGGAGATGTGGCGTCAAGGACAAGTCCCTCAGGATTTCAAAGACGGCACAAAAGGATCCGCCAAACCTGCGGCAACCACTGAAACATTGCCCCGCTGAACATCGCCGGAAGGATCGTCGTTCGCGTCCTCCTTAACCGCCTGAACCACCATATGGAACAGAGTCTGCAGCCGAAAAGCCAGTACGGCTTCCGCCGTCATCGTGGGACCACCTATATGATCTTCGCCGCCCGCCAACTGCAGGAAAAGTGTCAGGAGATGCGGACCCATCTGTACCCTAACTTCGTGGATCTGACGAAATCCTTCGACACAGTGAATCGCGGAGGACTGTGGAAAGTCAAATAGAGATTCGGCTGTCCCGAGCGATTCACCCCGATGGTGCGTCAGCTCCGCGATGGCATGATGGCGCGAGTCACGGAAAATGGAGCTGTCCCAGGGACATTCGCGGTGACCAACGGAGTGAAGCAGGCTGCGCCCTCGCGCTTACCCTATTCAGTCTCATGTCCTGTGCCACGCTGATGAACGCCTGACAGTTATACCCAACCGCGAAGTGTGGGACACCTGGGGCTCGAACTCGCGACCCGTTAGTTAGAAGTCCAACGCCTCTAACCACTGGATCACGGGCCCGCGTTCCCCCCGTCGACGCTAGTCCTTGTCTCTCGTGTTTGCGTACACCCTTAGGTCTGACCACCTTTTCATTTTTGACGGCGCTGAAGTAATCGTAATGGCTAACACCACGCAGGCGCTAGAATTCCTCGAAGCTTGACCAGCATCAACAGACATTTCGATGTAGACACCTATTATTAAGGCCCGCGATCACGGCTCACTGAGCCCTGCAGTCATTCCGCGCCAGCGGCCGCTACGTTAGCAACCGGCGGCCCCGCTTACCTACCGCCACAGAGAGCCGGGACTGCTCTCCTCTTCGCTCTTACCCCCCTGCTCATCAACATACCAGGACCTCAGTACCCACCCCATCCCCCCTCACACGTTGATGGTCTGCCTATCAATGTCAGCATTGTCGTGGCAGTCTCGCTCTCTCTTTTAACTTTGTCTCGTCCGATGATAGGTGGGTGTCACCAACTTGGAAAATTGCGAGTACGACTCGATTTCCCAAAGAGACTTCTCTTTTTCATTATGCCATCTCGGAATGTACACTACGTCAGTTATTAAACGTGGAGAAACCAACTAGGCCGTTACCGTCGTCTTAGGTTTCTTAAATAGCTGGCCTCTGGTGATGTGAAACAAGGCAGACAGTAACTCGACATTCTGTAAGCAACAGATGGGCCTTTTGTCAGCCTGTCGTTAAATATTCATGCTCCGACCCTACAGAGACGCACATGACTGGAACACAGGGAAAGCCAATCACGAAATATCGTAACTGGAGCAACAAGTACGTTGCCGCTTGCATTCAAGTCAGAAAACGCCGGCCTGTGTTGGCAGTTGGTGTGAGTATTAACAACCAGTTGGGCGGCGTTAAGCTGCGCCTGTGACTGACCTCTGCTGGCGGAACCGGCAAGAAGCCAAGACGACAGACTGCTAAAGCGCTTTCTTCAGCGACTGAACGATCACCTAGAACTCGCCTTTCCGGAGGCAGCAGGAGCCCACCTATCGTTGGATTTCGTGGCTTGAAAGGCTCATCTGCCATTTAAACGGCGGCCTGCAACTGTCCTGGGTACAAATTGAGACTATGTTACGCCTTACGAGGTGCCAAATCAGCAGAGATGTGTGCGATTGGCGGTTGACGGGAACGCCCCCATATTCCTCCCTACTCAATTTGCAGTAGACAAGTAGATAATGGTAAGGTAGACAACCCAGGTAAACCAACCACCCGGCCAGGACATCTTCTTAACTGTCTCTGCTGTTCAGTGGCACGTGGAACAACGGCAGAAACGGGAGCCCAGGCAACATGACCTGCAGCTGATTTTCCAGGGCTGTTTACCCCCATTAGTGCTCTGCGTGTTCATCTGTTTATGGTGAGTTTGTGCTTGCTTCCCACCCTCACGCCATACCCACCGCTTGCTAAGTGCAAGACCAAGAAGACTGAGGATGGACAAAGGCGCGAAGGCCAAAACCACATGCATACAAACTAACCAGACTGGCAAAGAGGTCCTCCGTTTCCCGGTCCAGAGGGAGACCAGGCAAACTTCCAAGTCAGGGCTTTTGGCGCATCATGGAAAATTATAAGAGCAAGTTGCCATAGTAAAGTAGGCACTGGGTCGGTCTCACATCCTCTTCCCCACATGATCACATACCACTGTCCGAGTCAAGCCGACCGGGGATGAGTGGAGCGGCTCGCGGCATTGAGCCCGTATCTGGCAATCCCAACCAAGGTCCGATAGAAACCAAATTATAGCCGGGAAGACAGCAAAACGTCTGAAGACAGCCGCAGACCGCATGGTCCATCGATTGCTGGGTGATCCAACTGAGGAATCGTCAGTCTACCAAACCTTCTGTAAAGTCAGGGAAAACGAACGAGCAGGGCAGACTTGCTCGCACGAAATGACTAACTGGTGACACGAGGGGCACGTCCTGAGCTCTAGACTTTAGAACACACCAGAGGCCAGACGGGTCTTCGGTTTTGAAGACGCGACCACTCAGGCAGCCAGAGGAGAGAACAGCGCACGGAATGGACTCAACTGTGACCGATAGACGCCTCGTTCATACGTGCCAGCTGTGCTCCGGTGAAAAGCTGAAAGACGGCAACAGATGCGATCTGGCAACCCTATAGTCTGATTGGCAGGCGGGTAGAACTGTTACCGTACTGGCTGGACAGGCAAACGAGACGACCGATACGAAGGATTTGCAGGGGTCTGGAAACCGATCCAGGAAACGGCACAAGGTCCGCGTGATTTTGTCGTGCATTCAACAATTGTGTTCTTTCGCAAGTTTCATCTCTCCCCGCTCACCTTTACCCTGAATCTCAATTTCGCCGTTTATTCTGATCAGCGTACATAAAGCAGTGCTAATTAGGTATTTGGAAAGCAGGAAAAAAACAGCTCTGAAATATTGGCGAAGGGGAAGGGATGAAGTGTGTTCAGGAAGGTTAAAAGTATTGACTGATGTCAGTCTGTGTAAGGAAAGCAGGGGAAAGGATGCTGCATGAGAGCGTTGTGTTCAGCCAGGGTGAGGGCGTGGAATGGTCTATTTGGGCGGAGTCGGTGCTGGCGGGGGACTGACGGGTTCCTTACTGTCCTCCGTGGGCCAGTGCTCTCTGTCGCAGAGGGGGAAGGGAGGGATTTTGACGTCCACAGTACCACCGCTGGCCTTCTCCAATCGAAAAGAACCCCACATGTGTGCCCAAGGAACCGGAACCTGGACGTGGCTGTGGTACTGGAAGACGGGGTTGTTTGGCCTCAGGAGAGGTTGCTGATGCGAGAACAACAGGCAAACCGAAATAGTGTTAGGCGTGGCATCAGTGAAAAAAACTGCGTGCCTAAAGAGGGCTCAGATATCGTCGAGGTGGAACCGTGGAGTGACAAGCCTGAAGCAAACCCAACCCCCCCCCCTCCGTGCTCCCGATTGATGTTCAGACTTAAAGACTGCAGATGGTGGGGTGGAGGGGGCGGGAACTAACATGCGTACACTGCGAGGGAAATTACGTGAAGCGGAAAGACAGTCATCATCTTTATAAGCCGTTTAGTTTACGTCCGAATGGGGCGAGGGAAGTAAGTCAGCAACCTAAAACAGCTTGATCACGGATATAGAATAGGAAACAAAGGCACACAGTATAAGTCATGGTGATAAGGCAACATAATGGCACTAAGCAGCGTCAACAATTTAACAGAGGCAATGCTATTCTGCAGTTTCGGGTATTAAAGTGCAAGGTTTGGTTGGATCATGGGCAGAATGAAATGTAGTGGATTCGGGTTAATTGGTCCACATTTGGGTAAAACGTTTTGGACCGCTCCAGAGGCCGGTTTCATCATCTGGCGCTACACAATTAACTAGGGGCTTCTAAAATGTCTGAGCCTTTCCCGCGTCGCCTCTCTGGCGTCCTTCCAGCAATGCCAATGCCCGTCGCAGTTTGTTATGGTATCTCATTATACGTGTGATGGTTATCACCAGTCAGCGAGCGACTAGTGCTCGGCCACATCTTTTTTGGTTGGCCTTGATACGTTAATTTTGCCAGCCAGTGCTAAATCACCATCACGCTGGTGTGATCACTTCGATCTGAGCAGAGTTACGTTGGATGAAGGTTTGCGCGGACTCCCTGACTGGACTTCTGACCCGCGGATAGTTTACATATCTGATCAAAATGCAGCCTACCCTCTCAACCCTGACTCGGGACACTCAACAGCCCAAGTACGAGGAGCGTTGAACCTGCCAGGCGATGTAAACTTGCGGAAATACGCAGGACCTCTTACTGGTCTTCAAAATTTGGTGGTAAATGATAAGCCGGTGGTCCGATCAGCCGGAGTTAACCGTAAAGGGAGCAGATGAGTATTACTTCTTGCACTCATTTGGTAGCAAACTATGTCTTCTTCATATCTTACATTTAAGGAAGGGGTGCTTTTGGGCTTGAAAAACTTTTCCGATTCTTAAATAATTTAGAACCAGAGCTGCTGTTTGAGTTGCGTTCAGGATTTTCAAACTACACACTTTCCTCTATGCTTTTAGAAAGATGTCATATTGTGCCCATAAAATTTTGTGATGTATGTGGGGCAGGTCGCATACTTTAAAAACAGTATTAATAAGTGGACAGATACGATGCCTTATGCAAGGACATCCCACGGTCTTAAAAATCTCAATCGTAAACTTTTTGGAGATCTAAAAATACCCTTCCCTCAGGTACGAAATTTGAAGCGGACATTGTTTGCTACCAAAATGAGTGCAAAACGGAATATTTTCGTGTATTTTTTCCATAAAATATACATCGAAAATAAATGGGAAAAATTAACAGTACCCAAGTAGTTATCCCTCATCGAGTAAGGTTTTTCCCTATTTTTGCTAAAACAACGCGATTTTTGCTCGTCAGTAAAGTTGCAAACATCGGACTTCCCATTCGGGGCAAAAACACACAAAGATGCCGACCCCCTGTGAACGTCAGACAACATATTGGTCTAATTAATGAAACATCAGAAGTAATGGGATTTTATGGAAGATGATCAACGAGATTTTCACGAGTCCCTTGCCCCCTCAGTTGATCGTCTGCACCAGACGTACACGTGTAACGCCCCTTCATCTGAACAGGGTTGTTTGAATGGTGAAAAACTTTTGGCGCGGACCTGGGATGGAGATAGTGTAACTGCGTGCTGGTGAAGACGGCCGGTGTCCCTTCCTCTCGCCACCGCCGACACCCCCCTCCCGCAACGTATCGTCGCTCTCGTCTCTCTCACTCATCGTCGGCTCCTCCCTCGGCTCCTCCCTGCAGTTGCCCACAGCGCTGCATCCCCACCGGCTGTTTAGCTAGTATGTCAGGGTCGCCTATCCATCGAGACAGGTCACCTATTTGCAGTTTCTCATTCTACGTGTACATTAACATTTATTATACACAGTTCTCGTATCCATGTCGTTATATTATACCATATTCCTGACTTGATGTATCTTCTTCTTCTCCTGCGTGTGAATGAGTATCAAGAGATACTAACAGTTCTATTCAGATCTACCGCCGCCAGGATCTCTTCCCAGTGTTTCCTTACTTTGGTGTGTGCTACCCTTGAGGTCGTCGGCCGCTACACATGTGCACATTCTGACTGACCGCAGGGCATCGATGATAAAAGTCCCCAACTTGTCAGCTTTCCGACAGCCTATTTGATCATGGTGGGCAACCTGGAATTTGCGAAGGGTGCAAGATCCTGCATATGACGATTCTTATAGGTGCGCTGTGATAGTTCGGCCGTCTTTGTCGACGATGTCCACCATGCGCTCCACAGCAAGGTCAGAGGGCACGGTGGGTTGCAAGTGAATTAATTTATGGTGATAGAAGAGTTGCACTCTCTCCTTCTCCCCCGCCTGAGGCCGGTGTCAAGACATGGCCAAGAAGACCGGAGGCGGAATAGAACGCAGGCACGGTCAAACTCGCACCTAGGCATACCACCATTAAACTTGTCAGCTTTCCGACGGCCTATTTGACCAAGGTGGGCAACGTGGAATTTGCCAAGGGTGCAAGATCCTGCATATGACGATTATTATAGGTGCGCTGTGATAGTTCGACCGTCTTTGTCGACGATGTCCACCATGTGCTCCACAGCAAGGGTAGAGAGGGCACGGTAAGTTGCTCGTGAATTAGTTTATAGTAAGAGCAGACTTGCACAGCATCTACCACGCTCCGCTTCTCCCCTGCCTGAACCCGGTGTCAAGATAAAGCCAAGAGGACCGGAGGCGGAAGAGAACGCAGACACGGTCAAACTCGCACCTAGGCATAACACCACACTTCCTGGTCCACAACAAACACTTGGCCAGGATTTTAACCAACAAGGAAATAAAGGGGTCAGAGTGGGGAGAATGATTGGGCGACCATGCACACAACCTGCATACCCAGCGGGAGCGCAGGCGCATCCACCGGCAGGGAACCAGATGCCAGAGAACTGCCAGCACGGACACCAGGCTGCAAGGGCCATGTTTTTCGGATACTGGCATAGCACACGCTTTCAGACATTTTGATCCCTAAGCTATTTAATGTACGCGAGACTGCTGGCTGTCAACTGCACACCGGTAGGCGATGGGCCCGTTTAGACTAGGAAGTTCAGGGACATCAGTGGGTGAGAAATGATAGCGACAGCACATTTTAGCGTGGTCTGATGCAGGGGAAACGCAGATACCTTGTTCGAAAAAGGGATTAAGCGAAATCGCAAGGCGTTCTCTGCCCTCTGGGCTAAGAAAGTCAAGTATATCCCCCACACGACCACTTGGAATGGTTCGACAGCACGAGATGTTGTTCGGCTGGGTTTACAAAGCAGAGTCCTTACGTGAAGGAGATTGTAAGCCGTATTTTATAGCGTTTGGGAACTTTGACACAGTCCGCAACATGGTAGAGTCTGCCTGCCTACCGACAGGGAACCAGGTGCCAGAGAACTGTCAGCGCACTCCAGGGCTGAGAGGGACACAGCTTGCTGGATAATGGCATAGCAGACGCATACAATCCTTAAGACTCAGAGGGGTGAGACGCAGATCTGCATTTAGCCTGGGCCACCACTTTCTGATTGTGGCCTTTGTGGTACCTGACATCATTGTGGAGTCTGAGTCTATGCGTGTGAGCCGCTACTTGATTGGGACAAACGACTGGCGCATGAGCGCGGGAGGAGAAAGGCACGTCGATCCAGAGTTGAATTCCCCGAAACTCGCGCTAACAACCGTTGCTTGGAGGATTACCAGATGCCGAGATAAATCGGCCGGACACTAGAATGATGAATGGACTGCAATGGCTCCCTAATGTGGCCTTTATAGCAACCCCCCACTTCTGTGAGATTGCATGATCGTGCCGAGAATGTGTGGAGTTAGGGACCGGGTCGTGTGTGGCACACGTAAACGAACTGCTTGGTCCTGTCGGTTGCTAATGCGTCCAAAAACAAAACAAACGGATCAGAAGGAGGAGGTAACGTGTGGTAATGGGTCTGCAATACCAGTGTTTTTAACCTTGTCAGAATCTCACGTTTTAAAAAACCGATAACACTTCTTTAACAAATTGGAAAAAATGTGCGTGAATCAAGGGATCTTGATGCAGAAAATATGACTTATGCGACTGTGGCTATCTGACATACTTGACGGCGTCACGCAGAAAAACCACAACGTTAGGTGCTGACACACTCAAGGTTTGAACTGCAATCCAATGGGTCAGTGATGGGGATGGGGCTTCATAGGTCACACAAGCCACGATACCAAAAGCGCAAATCAGTAATTGTGGATTATCATCATCAAACAGGAAACATTCAGAGCGACCATCTAATTCGCTTTCATCAACCAATGACTTTCGCATAACAGATTTCGAAGCGCCTGAGGTCGTAAGGGGTAATTCGAGGGGCCGGCAATACTCTTTAACAATTAGCTGCTGTTAGTTTTGCGGATTGTCCGCGTCAACTCCAGACACAGAGTTTTTCAAGTGTAATTGAAGTGCCTATTTCAAATTCACAGACAGGACAAATTTATGAACATCCGTCCTGTTAAACTTTGCAACAAGTATTGAGGTCGGAACATCTACGCTGTTTATTTGGCTTTGTAATCCGTTTACGGGAAAATAAATACTGAACTCATAGATTTTTTGGCAGATTTTGATTAATTCATGTTGACCCAACTGTGAATTAATCAAAATCTGCCAAAACATCTATGAATTACGTGAGCGTGGTAGTCATCCGGTGGATTCTAGGTGAATTACTTAGGAAATCCTGCTTGGGCAGTCAACTTACTGCATCTGATTTGGTGGATTAGAGACGTTGCAGTAGGTTGGACGGGTAACTTGACTCAAATGTGATTAAACTCGCGTCGTCTGGCAGAGCCTCGTAGCTCAAGTGGCTAGAGCGTTGGCTGTACTAAAGCATTCTCCTTACTACGTGGGTTTGAATCCCACCGAGGGGCCGAGTTTTTCACAGTTGGGTCAATATGAAATACTGAACTGCTTTGTCGACTCCCTAAAGGCCGACATCTATCACCCGAGAGCCATGTTGTTAACCAGCGAGGCGGAAGACAATGCTGCAGAAGCAATAATACGTCCTACTTTTTAGTGTTGCTCGGAAAGTTACTAAATGACAAGATAAATCGGCCGGACATAAGAATGATGAAGGGACTGCAATGGCTCCCTAATGTGGCCTTTATAGCACCCTCATTTCTGTGAGATTGCATGACCGTACCGAATGTGAGGAGTTAGGGACCGGGTCGTGTGTGGCACACGTAAACGAACTGCTTAGTCCTGTCGGCTGCTAATGCGTCCATATCCAGTCGCCTCGAGCTCACCTTGCTATTGGAATATGATAGAAATTAAGGTGGTGTGGTAGATGCCTCGCAAGTCCTTCTCGGCACATATAAACTGACCCGCAAGCCACCACAAAAGCGTCTTCGGGACTATGACAGACCTTCTCGTCTACCGGGATCAAAACGTCAGATATTCAGTGGTGCGGACTAAAAGACTCGAACACCCTCTGCAAGCATCCAGGCACTCGCTAGAATAGAGACCACGAAGTCCTGAAGGTACGGCCCACATAAAAACGAACCCTGGAAGAGACGTAAGGCATCAAAGGGCTAGTCATGTGCGTGTCTTTTCTAGGCGGCTTCAGGATCAGATCAACAAAAGTTGAAAGATTAAGAAAAAAAATCGACCTACCACACCAACCACACCCTTGCCGTTGACAGATTCCAGGCTGCCGGTGACGGAAAATACCTTCCAGAATCGTTCGCGCAACTGCACCGCCTCGTCCGTCAGATTCTCCAGGCGGATGAGGTAGCGCCACTAAAGAGCAAAATTTTTAGACTAAGGTACGATGGCCGAAGGACTCCAGTAAGTCCAAGGTGCATATTAAAAACCGTTGTTAGCTACGCAAAATCTGATTGAGGGAAAAGGTACCCTAGCAGGCGAACCAAGCAAACGAAAACAAAAAAGATAACTAGAACGGCGATCGTGTTTGCTTTTCTCTCAGACTCATCAAGGTTCGCTTTGGATTACTGCTCCTTTTCGAGCGATTTCGCCTTTCAAAAAGTGTGTACAAGTGTGAAAAAAGAGCCTGCTCCCAACTTCGGGATATAATATGACACAACAATGTCCGTGTAAAAAGCCCAAAAACAGGGCAAGAAAAGGGTGTGAAACTGAAACCTTATAAGCGTGGCAGTACACAAGGGTGTCGATTTTCGATTCACGAAAACTGAGTAATGCAACAGTTGCGACATAAGCTACAATGGTCCAAGTGAATGCAGTGCTAGGCGAGGAACGAATAGCCGGGAATAAACAAGGAATAGTTAAAGTTATGTGGGAGTGGTGATCCACCGTTTTGAAAAATCGCAAAAGGGGACTCATATGATCGGTTTGATAAGAGGTCGCTGTGAGAAGCAGTTACAATAAAAATGCCATCTCATGAAATGTTAACCAAAACTCTGAAAGGTGTTTTTAATTCGAAGTGAGTACTTAGAGTAGGTGGGCTAACTTATGAAATGTCGACCGAAGCTCCGAAATGCGTTTTCGTTTCGAAAAGATTAATCACGCAGGATTGTAAAACTAATCAAGCAGCGTAATTTTATCATAATTAAGCCACCTCGGGATGCCAGCTTTCGAACGAACTTTTTTCCGGCTGCCTGCGAAAACTATACTCTGTAAAAAAATGACTACGCAATTAAAATGCATCTTTTCATTGATTTTCGAGGTCCCTTAAAAAATCAAGAATATTTCATGGAAAACATGCATGAAAATATTCATTCTTTTACTTATTCGGTAGACAATCACGTCTTCTTCCAAAATCGTACTCAAAAGATGAGTATAATTCGATTTTAAAAAACTTTTCTGATTCCCGAATAATTTTGAACCCGACCTGCTGTCACACTTGCATTCAGGGTTTCCAAACTACGAGCCGTATATTTTCCGCGTACGGAAAACCGTATATTTTTCTACGGTATTAAGCGGAGATCATATGAGGTTCGAAAAAATTTAGTAGTGGTAAATGCAAAGGCATGACGTTTTATGAACGGCCATTTCATGATGTTGGAAAATCTTACAATTAGACACTTTTAAAACCGAATGATACCCTTCTTTCGGGCATAACATTGGAAGAAGACGTAATCCTCTATCAAAGGAGTAAATGAATGAATATCGTAATGCATGTTTTCCAGGAAATATTATTGGATTTTTAAGAGCATCGAGAATCGATGAGGAAAACGCATGCTACCTAAGCAGTTATTCTTTTTTACAAAGCTCAGTTTTTCCATGCAGCCGGAATTTCGTTCGAAATCCGACGTCTTGAGGTAACTGAATTACCATAGAATCTGAATTACCATAGAATTTACATCTTTTCGGAACGAAAAAGCATTTCGGGATTTCGGTTGACATTTCCCGAGTTAGCCCACCTACTGTATGTGCCGTAGTCCCCTGCGATGGAAGTTCATTCGCTTCAGTAACCAGTTTTTATCGGCAGATAAGGTGAGCACGTGAGTGGAGTCAACTGAGATATACTCCTCAAGCATAAATTTTAAAGACGTTGGCTGCTACCAAATGCCTAGATGAAGAAATATTTTTGTGCATGTTTTCTATAAAATATAGTTGAATTTATAAAGGGGTCAAAAATGAATGGGAACAATTCATACTACTCAAGAAGCTTTTTTGCAGGTGGCCGCAAAGAAGCTCGCTAAAACGCCGGCATCCCGACATGCCTGAAATATCTTAGGATGAATGTTGCAACCCCGCTTAGGTAGTTTTTTTGGGATCAAAAACGCATTTCAGAATTTCAGGTAACATTTCACGAGACAGCAAATTCACTGTCGGTATTAAATTAGCTTACGATGCTTGTTTAACTAGGCCTGCTTAAGCTTTTAATTTTGTATTGACCACTAAGTAAAGCAAATCAGAATTTTAGACCTTGTGGCGAAAGAAGAAAATGGGAAACATTTATAATCCCCCTCCTCCTCCCCCCAAGGCTGTCTGCTTGGCAGAATGGGGCTGAAACCAAGGCTATAAACGTCTCGAAAGTACCTCACACATTTCAGCAAAAAGATAGGAGGTGCCTTTCTGCGCCAGAACGTTTTGGCAAGTCCCTCACACGGAGCAAACAAAACAGCTTATGTCTTATTCCAGATGAAGTTTGGCGGATTGACTTGATTTTGCAAACAACTAAGACGCAGCGGACAGCGAGGAAAAGTTAAACAAGGATCGGGTGCTGCTGACTTGACTGCGCAAAGAGCGTACAACGCACATTTATGTCTTACAGCCGTAGTAGTAGTGGTGGTGGTGGTAGTAGTAGTACTAGTAATCGGCAAGTGACAAGCCCAAAAGCGTGATTAGTTGACGTGTAAATAAAGAAGGCCCATGGCAAATTGTCAAAGGCGAAATTTGGGTAGCGGAAAATTGGGTGTTTCCTTCTGAACCTAACGACTCTTTTGTGAGCAGAGGCAAACCGAAACTAACAGGATGGGAAATATTGACGGAGAACTGATGGGCTGCGCCAACCCCCGCAATCTTGGTAAGAAGCAGTCAGCCAGGGAGAAGCTTCACCTTTCTGTCGCCGGTCTACTAGCTGTTAAGTAATTCAACATGAAAATCTCGCATCTCGGTTATCTCCCGAGGTGTGTCATCTCGCATCATCTTATTAATCGATTGAAAAAGGGAGTAGTGTTCACCTGTGGGAGCGGACAGGTGAACACTTTTCCCAACGCCAGGGTCGGTGGGTCAGATGGTTGAGCAATCATCACACCAACATCCAACGCACGCGATGAAATTGCAACAATTAATTTCGGCCACCACACCACGTGCAACGATATCTGAGAAGGGGGGAGCCGTGAATGATCATAGGTATGCGGTAGCATGGCGACTGCATCCTATAAATACTGCAGCCCCTTTTACATGAATCACCCGTAGCTGCTGTTGTCTCTGATGATGGATTCGAGTAGGAATCCGAAACGTCAGGCTAATAAAGCTCTTGTCCCAGAGATCGAGTCCCCTTCTTCGCGACTGTCTCCTGGGACTGGTCTCTTTGCTTCTATTGGCAATTCTGGGGATGCCTAATAACACCTAAATATGACTGCTCAGGATCTGTTTTGTCTAAATTAAACGCGGAATCGGGTAGCCTTGTGTCTTATAATGCAAAAAGACAGTGAAGGTATGGAGATTTCAGTCCTATCTGCTCAGCAGTTTTATCATCTCATTGGAGGTAGAGTAAGACAACTCCATAACCGGCATGTGTTGCATGTTTTTCGGACTCAGTGGTGTGCCATTATCGCCTACAGAACAAATCCAGTCAGACGCGTGCATTGTTCCCGCTCAGTGAGAGGTCCACCACTGCTCCTCTGATGGACTTCCCACAGGAGACGGGCAGCCAACGGGAAGTACAGACGTTTCGAAGAGAATTCGTGAGGCTAGCGCTGGGCCTCCGGTGCGCAGAGGCCGCGAGCACATGGATACGGCAGACAAGGGGAGACAGCCCACCCATGACACCGTCAGCAGCGGTATGTGAGTGCAACTGGATACTTAAGTAGGCTGCCGAACCTGCAGGACGCTGGGCATACGAATGCGTGAAATATAAGGAGATGGGTCGTTCGTATGACAATGAAAATGTGATAATGGCGACGAGAGGATCATGTATGAACGGGGAATCCAAATCGTGCAGCATAAACCCACAATATTTCAGTCTTGCCAGAATAACGCCCTTTGAATAAGTTTCTTTCCGGCCGCCTGCAAAATGCACGCTCGAAAAAATGATTAACTAAGTGGTGGGAATTTTTTGCAAATTTTATGCTGGAAAAAAGCATTTTTCGGCTTTAAAAGGTTTTCCAATTGTCAAATAATACTGAACTCAACGTGCAGCTGCAGGTGCTTAGAGGTTTCCAAAACTCCATGCCATACACTTTTTGTAAGGAAATCAGATATTTTTTATGGTATTAAGATGGGGTCATGTGGGGCTCGTGAAATTTTGCAATAAATGTGAACCGCATTGTATAACTCATAAGCAGCACTAATAAACGTACTGGCGTGAAGGTGTACAAATAGAAATTTTAGTCTTAAAAATCCGCATAATTAAAGACTTTTTTAAAACCGAAAAATGTCCTGTTTTCGAGTATAGAGTTTGAAGATGTAATGTGCCACGAAGTGAGCGCGAGAGAAAATAACCTCGTGCATGGTTCTCATTAAAAATTTTTCAACTCATAAGGTTATTGGAAATCGGCGAGAAAAATTTCCACTATTTGAGTATTACTTTTTCGCAGGCGGTCGGAAAGAAGCTCATTCGAAAGCCGGCATCCTGGCAGGATCGAAATATTGTGGAATTTTACTGCAAGGTAATTACTGTTACAATGCAACCCAAGTAGTCATTTCTAATCGAAGAGGCATTTTAGGAATTGCGTTTATACTTCATGAGACAGCCCAGCTACTGTATGCATACAGTGAAAAGGAGTTGATTGATGGCATAAAAGAAGATGGGGGAGAACTCACGTAACGACTGTAGGCTTCATCAGAAAACTAGAAAAAAAATGAAAACGTTTGAAATTTTGTTAACGCGCATAAAGAAGGCATATGGTGCCTTCTTGGACATTTATAAAGTAAGCGACATGTCCATGTATTTGTTTTGGCATAAAAAAGCAAAGAGATAATCAGTTAAGACCAAGGCTCTCCAGCCTAGATATTAGTGGCTGTCAACATAAATATTGAGACTAAAGAGGTGGTAACTCCCCAGTCATTGAAGCAGACAATCTACAAGGTAGAGCATTCCCAAAGATTGAGGTCACTCAACAGGTACTTTAACGCATGCCAAGGACAATTCTCACCCGGTTGATAAGCACCAATGGCCCCAAATCCTAATGATAGACCGAGGTTGCAAATGTTTAGTCAATGTCCCTTAAAGGTAAATGAAATGATCACCAAATCGCTCATGAAAGAGCTTGGTCGCAGTTAGTGCTATATGAACACAGTGATGTCATTAAAGCCAAATAGATCATTAGATGATACGTCGTAGTTAGGGTGTAAGCAATAGGAAAATGATGAGGATAAACGATGAGCGCCCAAGGAATGTGGTAATACTTCTAAGTTCTGATAATATTTTATTGATAGTGATAATAAAGACCCAAAAATAAAGAAATATCGAACAAGAATCATCTAATAAACTGACCCGAAACTTTTGTCGACCCATCAGAAAGGGGACGACGGTGGTCCGCAAGCCCTCTGTAGTTTCCCTGTGTACAGTTTTAACTTCCAAACTCTGCCAACGAGACTGAAGCCATCGGCGGAGGTTATCAGTAGGGAAGAAGTGTGGTTCTGCCAAATGTGAGATTAAAAGGACAAGTTCTATAAGGGTGAAGAAACTGAAGAACATACAGAAGGTAACAGAACGATGAAACAGATGACGACACCTGGTAAGGAAAGTGAACAGGAATGTGGTAGCTCACTCTTTCCAGCCGACAAAGTCCACCACTGTACTGGGGAGGACGAAAAAAACACTTATGCGCGACACTGGTCAGAGTAGGGGAATGTGGACCCCAACTACCTTTATCCATCATTTATAACGAGAAAACCGAGTGTCTGATCCGAGTTCGATCGGCCGCAGTCCCCTTTCCATCTCCGATCATGTACCAGTGGCAAGTCAAAATCAAGCAAGTAAGAGATGACGGGACAATGAGTAATGGCTGAAATGACGTAGGGCCTCTGTCTAACACACGTTGCGCGCAAACATCCACACGCTATGCGTCCGTTATCATCAGCAATAATAATCATCGCCACAGGATCGTTTTATGTGTGACGGGTGAGTGATGCACGCCTTCGAGTGTGTATGTAAGCAGATAGGGTCCATAGGTCGGTTTTGGTCGGAATTCCTGGCATTGGTTCTGTGGTTGTGAGACAATTAGCAAAACACCGTACAAGAAGCCTTAGAAAAGTAACATTCCACCGTATCGGCAACAACGAAGAGGCAGTTATCGACTTTATACGCATATCGATGCAGAAAAATCGATACGCCTATGTTACGATTAAGTAAAATTTACAACTAACGAAGGCATTAACGGACTGCGCTTTCTGGTGCGAAGGCTTTGATAACTTCATCGGAAGAAGCATTCATCGAATCTAATCACGTACGGCTTAAATACAATTTCAGAAAAACATGTTGAAATTTTCGAGAGGCGGTCTAAGGCTTATAAGTGCCTTCATGATCAACCAGTGGATTGATCGGAAATAACACGGTGAGCTGGGAGGGCAAATACCAAAATATAGAGACAATCGTAAATGCACACAAATGGACAACGAGTACTTACCTCGATCGGGGTCGAAATGCATAAATTCGCGGAAATATTCATTTTTGAAGGGCGTTTGTTCCTTACAAATGTAAGGGATAATATCGTCGTGGAATGCATAATCCATACCTACAAATAAAGTACTTCGGGAGTATAGCATACCAGAAACGATGTAAATGGTGTTGAGGACCACTTGGTCATCCGGTAAAAAAGTTATGCCAGACTTCAGAGAAGAATTCTAGAACAGAACATTATCAAAAAAGACAGTACACAAAGCTCCAAGTCGTGGGTATCTGCCAATACCGTGTAGGCATATATTGGCCTACCCTTGCCCTGAGTAGACGAGGAGGGGTCAAACGGAGCCCTAATGAAAATTAGAAAAATAATCTATTACGGCTGGTCATCAGTGACAACATTCCGGTCGAAGAGGGTTGCCTTCCAGGAGCTCAATATAATACCTCTGTATCCGAAGAGCCGGTGTATAATTAGCTGCCCAGGCTCATACATGCGCTCCTGGATGGGCAAAGCTTGCCCAATCGGATCTAAACTGCAGCCGTCAAAAGGACTGAGACACGAAGACAAACCAGTATGATGACCGAACGACAGAGGAAAAATTTGCCTTTTTAAACGCAAGGCGACGAAGAAACCTGGTCGATAACCTTATCAACATCGCTGTGATATACAGCCTTCGACAAACGGCTGTATGCAACTTGCCAATTCTTTCCGCCCGCCTGAAGTTTACCTCAGTAAAAGTAGCAGTTATTAATTAATGACTTCTGGTAGGGAGTCAGACCTTCTAAAATCTATTAGTCCCTGTATGCTATTACGCCTTTCTAATAGGATGTGCAAAGATGCAAGACCCACTTTATAAACCGCTCCTCTGCAGTATGATATAGGACATATTTCTGTAGTGTAGCAACACATGGGCCTCATTTAAGCGCCAGGTTGACCTCTATCTTCCATGAAATCTGTTAACAAGGACACATTTCGCAGGGCTTCGAGGACGCAATCGCCGTTTATATACACAGGCGCAGAAGAACCCGACATCTATGAGACACCACAGAGACATTTCACTACTTAGTATGACAGGAAAAATCCTAGCTGTCATCCTCCTTAACCGTTTGAATACGCCCATGACACAAGTGCCTCTCCCAGTGCCGAACTCTCCGCATGCCCTTTGCATCCTGTAAACTGCAAGAGAAGGGCCAAGAGATGATAACCAACACGCACACCCCTTTCTTCATTTAATGAAGGCTTTGGGCATAGTCTACTGCGATGGATACAAGAAAATCAATACAGGAGCTTGAATGCCCAGGACGACTCACTTAAATGATGTGCTGAATTTATGATGAGATTAAAAAGCAAGGAGCTGTGAAATCGGGCTGCTCTGCACTTGGGGAAGATTGCCAAGACTTGGCTGTTCGCTTGCGTGTCTGAGCAAAGCATCCCTTCGGGAAGGCATAAGCCGTGGTGCGATATTTGTACAAGTTAGATATGTGCTTGTCAACATGGGATAATTTTTACCTGTATGTGAGACGTGCGGTGGGTTAGGAAAGAGTCCATAGCAGATTTGCGTGATCATACGGATTCCGGGTAAAAAGCCAGGCTGACAGACGAGCGTGGGGTGGCCATGGAATGAGTACAGGGCCGTGGTTAAATGCAGCTGAACAAGAAGCGCCGAATCTCAGGCCCGTGGAGCGGCCGTGCGCCAGCAGTATGGATGTCGGTGAGGACAGAGGTAAGGGTCAGCTTCATCTGAAAAATACCAAAAATGATGTAACAAGAAAGAGTCGTTGATGCGGAGGCACAGTAACGGGAAAAAAGCATATTCGGCGATCTACGAAGCAAACAGAACTGAGAAATAGACATCTGATCTAGTCTAAAAAGATTGATGACCCTGAAAAAGCTGTGAGCAGGGCTAAGGCTGCGCATTCGTCACGACTTTTCTGATCGATCTAAACAAACGAGACAAGTTTTTTCTCCATCTCTTCACAAAAGACGTGTCCTCCACAAGCACTAACAATATACTCTTTTCAGAATATCTTATCCCAAAATTATAAGGAGCACTCAGCGAATTAAAGTCTCCAGGACCAGAAGCAATTACATCCAGGCGTCTCCACGGACTTCTTAGTGAGCACATCATATCTCGATCGATGATCCTTCGAACGTCAATTAACCATGGAACGCTTCTTGTCAATTGAAAGCTGGCGCATTCAACTCCCCTACACAGAGTCGGTAGCTGGATGCTGATGAAGAATAGCATACCGAGAACCTTGATATGCATTCTCAACGGAGCTATGAAGAGCGGATTGGTGAAATACCCCCAGAAGTCATCAGTTTGACATCGAACGGCCAACTCGGGTTCGGGAAAGGAAGATCCCGCACACTAAATTTTCTGTAAGCTCTCCAGAGATGGAACCGATCTCTCAAGGATAGGCACGAGGTTCACATCCCTTCCAATAACCTCAAACGAACCTTTAACACTGTGTTGCACTCGAGACTGTTGTACAGGCTGCAAAGAATACGGATCACGACCAACTTGCTCAGATAGATCGAAAACTTCATTGTGGATCGGCACCAGGTTGCGCCCATCGGTCACGAATAACCAGATCTTGATGATAGCGATTCCCTATTTCGTCCTTTATATATGTCGACCATTGCACAAGAGATTCCGACTGAAGAGCAATGGTGTTTGCTGACGACATGAGATTTGAAGTGTGATCGTGGACCCTGCCGGCGACGATACACAACAAAACAATCTAAAATACTTGGCGGAGTGGTCAAATAGATGGCTAATGCGGCACAACATAGGAAAGTGTGCCACACGTCGCCCAAGCAACCCAGCCAGATCAATCGGCACAAAAAACTAATTTCTCGAATTTTCAGCTTTACAGGATGCGGGATACAAGGTTGGCTACCGTCGACGATCCAGAACCAAAATATTATCGAAAGACGTTAAAGAAAAGCCGCTAAGATTGGTAGGGATCAAAGTTCCCCTCCCTATGCAACCCGCCTGACAAATCTGAAACTCTTTTCCTTGAGTTATAAGCAAATGCGCAGGAGTCTCTTAACATCATTCCGGATGGTGGACGGATTGGATAGTAGTCTGAATTTTGAAGACATATAGCATTTTCTACCACGACCGACCTCCGAGGTCATTCATTCAAATTTTGCGTTTATAGGCACGGCTTGATGCACGCAAGTTCTCCTTCTCTGCCAGAGTGGTCAAACCATGCAATGCCCTCCCCACAGATGTTGTGATCTCACCAACGATGGAAAGCGTTAAAAGGAGTCTTGACTGATTTATATTCCGAAATGAACAAGAACGATGGGGAATTGAAGTCGGCCCCTGGGACTCACGCCCAGAACTTCATACATTTAGAGTCCCATTTGGACTCTTTCGCCTCACGGGGTTTCTCTGTAAATTGGACCCAAGTTTACACTTCAAAAAGGGCACTCAAAGGTTACTACAAATGCCTCTACATAAACAAGACTGAACACAGTCCGGCACCCTGAACGCGGTGAGTGGAAAACCGACTGAGAGCCATGAGGATCACCGCACAAGACGCAGATGTAAATGATAGGGCTTACTACACCGTCCGCACACCATTCGCCGAAATACATATGGGGGTATAGGAAGCGATTGTCGAGTGGACGGCGGCAATGGTAAAGAGCAGTCAGCACTGACTGACAGCATATTTGTGACAAGTGAGAAACCGATTAAGAGCAACGTTGATCAATTATTTCGGGAAGGAACAATCGGTACGTGTATGCATGGCCTTAAAGTCAATGATCATCCAGCAATGTCCATACGCGTGTCAATGACCTGACAACTGGCAGGCCAGAAGGTGCACCAAGGAATTTCGTTAGATTTTACCAAGCTTCGTGAATGAAAAAAGTAGTTACTTTAGAAAATGAAAGTGTTGAATGTGTGTGCATACACCTCCAACCTCATTTATAATGGAACTTGTGGTCTTCTGTCTTGTTGCATGAGTATTCACTGTGCACACGATTTTGTGAATTCACTGGGCGGATAAATTCTAGTAACAAGGTTCGGTTACCCATGGAGTCCGAATCAACCTTAAATACACAGGATAGTGATTAAGTCTAAAAAAATTGGACAAAATCCCTCTTTT